AGTGCCATTTTTCAGTCTGACTTAGAAGTAAACTAAATTAAACTACAAAAAGTGCAGAATGAGTGTTGAAGCGGAGATTTAATGTGCAAATCTTTTGCTGCTAAATTTACTCATGATAACACCCTCTTGCTGCCATTGGCAAGTCCCAAAAGCTGCCTGAGATGAATAAGCGTGTTCATCAGAATCAAAGTTACTGCAAAGTATTAAGATGCTTCTCTCTAGCAGAATTTATTTCTCCTGCTCTACTGAAATCTTCAATTTGTCTCTGATATTTGGGCATTCTTGCAGCCAGATGAAGCTCAGCTTTCTTTATCTGATTGTTTTTTGATTTGTATTTCTTTTAAAGTACTTCATTTTTATATTCTTTGTACTGTTAATGATGGTAGTTTTATTACCTTGCTTTTAAGTTCCATATATGAAGAAGTGCTAGATAGCTGTTTTATAAGCTTTTTAAGAAGAAATTTGTTAAATGACACCATTTATTCCAAAAAGTCAGTAACACTAAATGTAATTTTGGTGTGGAAAGAGTTAAAGAAACTTTTGGGTTCTCCCCCCGCCATTAGTTTGAGCCAGGAGACAGCTCCCCTGACTTGAATCCTGGATCAGCAGCTTGGCTCCACTGAACAGTAATAGAGGAAAAAAAGGAAGAGAAATCTAAAAATGATCTATAAGCAAGAATGTCTCTATATATAGAAGTTTTCCATGGAGCACCAGACACTCTTTAAGAATTAATGGCAAATTGGCATAAATCATACAGTACTTAACAAACTATACTGAACTTGCTGTTTCTGCTCCAAAGTTTCATTGACAAGTTTTCTTTGGAACTACGCAGTCTTGAACAGAAATGATGAGTTCCATTACATCCAGCTATTTGTACTGCTTTTTATTTATAATCCTGTATTGCTTGTTACTTAATAATTATTGCATATCATGTCTAAAACTTAATAAGCAGTGAAGCTAGTGGATTGTGCTGACTTGGGTGGGGGGAGAAAGTAGATGTTATAGGATATTTGGAGGATAATTAATGAAATTATCGTAACACTTAGCCATGCAGGGAGGTAAGACCTCTCTTCCCTCCTAAATCTTTCTGCTTAGTTCTCCTGCAGTTGTAATCCTGCCGGCACAGAAAAAAGAGAGTGCTGCTTGCCGTTACTCCATTTGCAGGCTAGTGGATAGGAAAGGACAGAAAAATGGAATAATTTCCTTTACTCAGTGCTCCTCAGTCTTCTCCCTTGCTTACAAAAGCCAGTACGTGAGGACAGAGAGGGTAATTAGCTGCATTTTTAGAGCAGGAAAACATCTTGTTTCTCACTGCAAGGAAGAATCTGGGATGGGATAGGGGATCATTCTCAAGGCTGCACAGCAATGAACTCTTGTACTCAAGGCAGCTTGAAATACTAAGAGCATAACCAGTAAGTACAATGCGATTGCGTTTTGCTTGGTAGAAGGTCCAACATTGGTCATTACAGCAAGACATTGCATGTAGGAAGCTACAAGAACACTGCTTGGTGTTTAATGATAGTTGAAAAGCAACCAGGATGTTCAACCTGTAAAGGATGAAATAGGAGAGAGACCTGGACATGTCCTGAGGATTTGCAGAATACTGAAGGCACATCAGTTCCCTCCAGTAATACTATGTTGGCTTTTGGCTATTTGATCACACAAGAAACAGTACAGGACTTTGTGTTTCAACTGTTTCCACTCAAACCTGTGTTGCCACTGCTGTTGTGAAGGACAGAGTTCTTTATTCTCTTCATCCCACCATGCGGGAGGATGCCGTGTTTTATTAGTGGACTATTGGTAAGAGATAAGTACAAGAGGCAACTTTATCACCGAAGTGTTGGACCAGGAAAATATTAAAAGAGGCAGCTGATGAGATTGTGTACCCGTGGTTCCCAGGAACCTGCACTTGGTGTTGTCCTGATGAAGGAACTTGGGACAGTGCCAGTTAAAAAGTAATTCTTTTTTAGCTGTTATCACATACTAATGTGTAGGGTATGGTCAACAAAAGCTTTATCACTCTTGTTTAAAGATGACCAATATTGGATATATCTGTTATGCTTTTGAAGTTCTTAACTTTCCATAACAGAGAGATGGAATTACATTTTTCCCTAGTGTTATACAGACCAATACATTTCCTCGAGTATATCCAGTGGTTAGCAAAAACAAGTGACCTAAATGAGCAGAAGACAAGCATGAAACCTGACTGACCTTGTGCAGTAGACTTTATTGTTTGCTTCCATTGGAAATACAGGGATTCCTTTTGTTGGTAAAATATGAGCAATCTGAGCTGCTGCTTGTTTGGCAGGGTGGCAGCTGAGCTCTGCTCGCAGCAGTAAGAGTGCAGCCTCTGTTAGCTTCTTGATTGCTGCGTTATGCAAGCAGAGTATTACTGAGCAAAAGGCTTTTTAAGAGGCATTAGGAGGTTTGTGTTCATTAGAATGCAGTGTAATGTGAATAAGGCAAGCTGGACACAAGGTCCCCCTAGTGAGGGAATCAATAATAACTTCTGCTCAAGGAGGTACCTATAAAAATAGACTGTGAAGATAATGAACTTTGCTAAATTACATACATATGTGTTCTGCTTGTGTGTGAATTTAGAGGGCTTAGAGACGGTAACAGAAGAATGGGAAGCATGATGAATTCGTCACCCAGTTCCTTCCATTCTTTTTTTTTATATCTCTTTTAGTCTTAAGTCTTTAGTCTTTTGCTTCACATAGTTGCGTATTTGAATAGTTGGTGCATATTCTTGTTGAATCCTGCAGAAAAAAAAATTACAAAGTTTAAGCTCACAGGAGTTTACTTACCAAATGGCATTTTAGGCACAAGATAGAAGCAGTTTTTGATCCTATGGGCTATTTTTCACCTTGTGGTTCAGGGCTATTAGCATGACATCTTTCTCAAAAGTGCATTGGTAAAAAATCTGAAGGGATACTGGCCATCTTAGTGGAGCAAATGAATCTACTTTTCCTAGTTTTTCCAGAAACTTCACACATAACTGTGAACAATTCAATTCTATTCTTCCTGATAATGTTTCCCTAAAAGAGGTAAACTAACGGCTACATCAAGGTGTTTCGATGCGACAGTTATGGAAGCCATGTGTGCAAATCTGTGTTACTTGGATTTTGGTCCTTTTGGTACTGTGAATCGAAATTATTTGTCTTGTGTCGCTTTAAGATACAACAGATTATTGCTACCCTATACAGACTGGAAATGATACTTGGAAAACTGAAAATTACGTCAGTAATTCCTTTCCCCTGTTGCCCACAAATTCAGTTTGGTTGCAAATAGAGTCACTATCTGGCAATAATAGTCACCTACACCTAGAAATCCTCTCAAACGTGTATTTTTCTAAACCTTTCACTACATTCCGATGGGTTTATTATTAGCCAAAGATGGTGGACTTTAAGGGTGTACTTACATAAGAAAAATCAGTAGTAGAGAGGAAATAAATACTCAGAAAAGCCATTTTCATATATACAGGGTTTGCACAGATGGATAATCTAAGGACATGGAGGAAATCATCAGGATCTCAGTGGTGGTAAAAAACCAAAACAACAACAGCATCTCTTCTGTGTGTTCTGCACCCACTGCTAAGTGTTCAGATGACTGTCATCCACAAATGCTCGTGCTTAGTCCTGAGGGACGCCTGCTGAAAAGCACCGTTTCAGGAATTACATGCAGGAGACTGTAAAGGAAAGCGAATCACAAGTAAAAGGTGCAGCTTGCCTTTAAAACGAGCGTTCAGTGCTGAGTAAGGGAAATGCAGCATTCTGTCCCCCCTTTGCAGAGAAATACAGAGCTGCGCTACAGAAGTGCAGAGGGAATTTATTGCTTTTCTGTACACAGATCAGACATACTGGTAGCGGCAACCAAAGTGTGTGAAGAACCTCCTTACTGAGTTGATGCCCTCTGTTAGGGCACCCATGGGAGATGTGAAGCCAGGACTGCAGCTTTGGGAAACGCTGCTTGGCGCCGGCGTGGCTTCCCCATGACTGCTCTGAGTGGCCAGGCCAGCAATTCCGTGTTTCCTTCAAAGAAGATAAGTGTGGGAGCAGTCTACAAGCCATACTGGACATTTAGTATATCAGGAACTAAGGTGATTTTTTTTCTCCTACAGCCCCAGAATCAAGGGTCTTAATGAATTACAAAAAGGCATACAGCTGATTCAGTTGTAAAGGTTTTTCATAGTCCAAGTCTTGCAACAAAATTTATCTTCTGAAAGCAAACCAGCTCTCAACTAGTGCAGATTGCCAATCTGGACTACTTAAGAGTTATGTGAACTTAAACACATTGCCTTAAAATTGACAGTCTTATTTATTTTGAAATGATCATTTGATAATTCTAAAAAAATCTATTACATTTCTTTTGAGAAACATGTTTTAAAAAACTCATCATCCATTACCAAATAGTATTCCTGGATGTATACACATTCTGAATGACTAACATTGCTGAATCAAAGTGATGGTGCAATTTAATTCTACATTTACTGTCAGTAACATTCATAAGCTTGTTTTCTGTATAGGAAAACTAACATTTTGAGGAAGTATTTTCTTGTGTCTTCTAGAAGTTGACAGCCACAGCTAATAGAAAGTTGTTGTGCAGATCTCGCGTGTGGTCTGGCAGATACGATGTCTCTTGAAATACAGTTTTAAAGTAGGCTGTTTACATATAATCAGCTTCAGGAACATCCTTCTTCAAAAAAGGGGAATCTAATATGACAACAGTTATTTTCTTTTAACCCTTTTTGAAGACTTCTTAGCTTTATTTAATCTTAAATGTGTTTTTTGCGTACAAAGCTTCTCAGAAGGCCACGGGTATGACTGCTTGCAGGAGATATCAAATGCCAGTGACAAAAAGGCACGATCTCCCACTTCACAGCAATGCACACAACCCGTACAGCACATTGATAGGTTTTGTTACTGCTTACTTTTCCCCTTACTTGCAGAGAAAGGTGTAAATGTATCTGTAACACCTTCCTACAACCTATACATTTACAGGGACATGGCTGAAGAGTAGTTTGGGCCTTGTACAACAAGAAGGAAATCAGTTGACTTGGACTTATATTGCACCTCAGCTGGGCTACTGGGTTGCAGCTATGTCACCTACTATCCCAGGTAAGATGGAATTGAATTTTATTGATTTTCACAGCATTGAGTAATTATTTATTCATATATAATGTTTATATTTTTCAGAATGACCTCATCTGAGATGCCACAACTTGATCAATAATGGATTATTAGAAAACAGAGGTCTGAAAGTAAAGGGCTAAAATCTTTTGGGGATTGTGGGGGGCAACTGTTGTGCTCAAAACCTCTGAGTCATTTCAATGGGAAACTTTTTAAAGGGTTCCTGCTTTGATGCATTTATGTCACCACTGCTTGGTAGAGCCATTGCTAGAAAATGAAGGGAATTATAGCATCAATGTATTGGGTCCCACAGGTAGAAAAATACGTGAAGTTTCTATACAGAAACTCCCAAAGAAATGGATACACTTAAGACCAACATCATCCTGGGTTAGACGTTTACTAATGGATTGATTGACTGTAACTTTTTTTTTCTTTTACCCTGAAGATGCCCATTTTGCCCTGACTTATGCTTTGCATCATCTTGGTGATTGATTAATTTACACCGCAAATAACTTAGCACAGAGGTTCTAGGAAGTGTTTTAGCAGAGTGGCATTAGTAGATGAGCTGACTGGTTGCGATCTGCAAGCCTCTCGGCATAACTGTAGAAAATGACTTTGAACTTGGCAACAGGTGTACTTCTGTGCCTGTGGAGTTTATTAATGTTGCAGCTTGTTCTTCCCTTTTTCTGTCTGTGCCTGCCTCAGATTTCTTAATACTACTTCTCCAGCTGCCAATAATCAGAGATACCTCTGTGTATAAAAGAGCCAATCAATCAAACAAAAACTTCTCCTCTTACAGATTTTCTTCATTAGGTTTTCTGGATGAAAACCAAATACAGTAGAAATTAAAACATTCTTGCCTTGGCTGTGCAAGCTAAATAAACTGTATCTAACCAACAAAACAAACTCTAACATGAAGACTGTTTTGAAAGTCTGCTTGTATATGCCATGAAGTTGTTTCATGATATGCAAGCTTTTTATTTGAGATTATATTGAATGAAACTGCTCAAATATTCAGCTGATTCATTGCTGAAAGAGTTTAGAGGCAGGTGCAGATCTGAATAAGCTATCAGATTGAATTTAATGGAATTTTACAAAATAATTGTACTTTAAGAAAAAGCTACTGCTCTGAGCCAAACATTTCCCAGTACAGCCCTGTCCCAAACTGCAAGGAAGTTACACTAGTCGTGAAATTGTGCCGGTAACTCTAAGGTTAGAAGGCCTGTAACTCTTAACAGGAGAAGGCTTACTTGTCCTTGCAGTTTAACTTGTATGGTAGAATTTCTATTTGTATTTTACTTTTCCTTTTTCTGAGGGCTAGATCTGGGTTCCTAAAACTTTGTTGCAATGGGAACAATATTTTCATGAAAAATTAAGCGATCTATCGCGTCTTCTTTATGATTAATGTCCTGAAGCAACAGTTATCAGTCAATTAGGTACAGATAGTGGTGGGACAGAATGTATAGATATTTAGATTTCCCAAATGCAATATACTTGATGTTATTTTTAATGAGGTTAATGTATTTTTGTTTGTTTTATCTCCTCATTGAATCTGTTTGATTTCTTACCTCAAAAAATGGACAAAAATGAGCTTTGTATTCCTAGCAGTGGCTCTACAGACCACTCAAGATCCACAGATGAGGTTTTACAAACCTCATGATCTAGAACCTTAATGTTGGCCAAGTTTGCTGTCCTTCACAGTACATGCATGTTACTCTGTCAGCTGGTGCTGTACCTCCTTGCCTGCAGATGAAAATTTGGGCCTTTATTTCAAAATCATGGTAAGGATTTTACAAACCAACAGGGTTACACATGCATAATTGTGAACAGATGCTGTCCACATGTGTGCATTCCTTTGTATGTTAGAACATTTACTAAGCATTATTGAAACCTGGAGTTACAACACTGTTTCACTAGTGGCCTGTTTTTTAAAGCTACTGAAGATCTGCTTGGCTTGGTTTGATCTAGACTTCAGAGCACCAACACATCTTCCAATGAATCCTGTACTGCACTGTATGTACTGTTTACTGCAAAGCACCATGATATTGTTAAAGAGAAGTTGTTGGCCACAGTGCTGCTATGTGCATTGCAGTGCTGGAAGATGCTGTGATGGCTTTTCTCCAGTGATGAGAGCTTTGGCGCACTGTGTCAGCATCAGGACCTGGAAGGCAGCATTCCCTGATGCATGCTCCTGTTGAAACTAACTGCTTTTCCACAGAATGATCTATTTGGACTTGTAATCTTGGAAAACCAGCACATGCTTTCTCCACAACTTGCTCCCTTCTCCAGAGATGGTCTGCTCAATAGGCACCAGGGCTATGAGCGGCAGTGTTTCTCACTTAGCACCTGGATAACAAGGGAAGATGTCCCTCTCTTTGTTTAAGTGTTGTTCCTCTTCCTGTTTGCAGGCTGTTACAGGTCTAAATTCTCTTTTCTGGCCTTCCAGGTCCCGTTGTAACACACGACATTACCAGCTATCACACAATGTTTCTTTTGGCAATTTTAGGAGGGATGGCTCTCATACTTCTAGTCTTGCTGTGTCTGCTTTTGTATTATTGCAGGTAAGATTCACCATCCTGCTTACTTAGTTCATGTTGGAAATACAAACTTTTTTGTGCTTATGAAATTAAAAGATTTTGTATTGAAACATTTTTACTTTGGGGGAAAAAAAAAAGCAAGCAAGCACTTGAAGAAGAAACAATGAGATCAAATTTCATGTTCCTGGTTACATGCAGCATACGCAATCCCTGCCTTTGGTAGGATGGTAGTTGAATGAATCACACACACCTGTACCTGTGTTTTCCTTGCATGATGTTCTAAAACTTCCTATCAAACATGGGCATAGGTCCAAGATCTCTGTCATTGTACCTGTTATACATTTGCAAGTGATCTTTCTATTAGTCTTATATTAAGAGGAATGTTAAACTTTTATCAGCAAGTGTATATTAATGAGTGATTTTTGTATTTGTCTCCCCCAGACATTTGCTCCAATTTGTAATTGGTGCTTCAGGTATTTCCCAATTAACATTAGTTATTCTTTAATTTTGTCTTCGCTTCTGGGATAGGCTTTTAATTGTTAGGTTATGTAATAAAAGCTCGATTCCCCTAGCACTCATCACTGCTTAAAAATCTCCCGTTAAGACACACTTGCTGCTCTTGTTTCTGTGTACAGCTGTCATAAATGTGTAACTTCTTTTGTTACTGGCTTTTATAGAAGAAAATGTTTAAGACCACGTCAGCATCACAAGAAACTGCAACTTTCAACAGCACTGGACACTTCTAAGAAGGATCAAGCAACCTCAATGTCTCATATAAATTTAATATTTTCACGTCGCGAGTCTGAATTCCCTGGCGGGTTGTCCGTGGCTAGCAATGGACACGCTGAAAACTCAGGTACAAAGGAATTAATCAGTGCTGTCCACATGGAGATGGTATCACCTAGTGGAGAAGCAGATATGCATACACCTATGCTCAAACACTCCTTCAGTACTTCCCAGGAGTTTAGCTCCCGAGAGGAATTGCTCTCTGACAAGGCGAAAGACAAGAGCAGAATTTCCTTTGATGACCTGACTCCCAGCGGGTCTCTGAGAAAAGACTACCACAAATCAGCAGATAGTTTTCCTTTAAAGACAAGAAAATCTACAGAAACAGCTGAAGGCTATGAGTCCCCTATCAAAGATGAGTATAGGAGAAGTTACAATGCTATGCTGTCTCAGCCTTTATTTGAAAAGCAAGAGAGAGAAATTCAAGTATCTATGAACCATATTGCTACTGGAAGTAAATACAATATTCAGGAACAAATATACCCCACACCTTCAGCCCCTGAAAAAGAGCTGCTGGACTGCAGACCTACTGATTGTATGATGTCTCGTTCAGTTGATCACCTTGAAAGACCGACATCTTTCCCTCGACCAGGTCAGTTAATCTGCTGCAATTCTGTTGACCAAGTCAATGACAGCGTTTACAGAAAAGTTTTGCCTGCACTCGTCATCCCAGGTCATTACATGAAATTGCCAGGAGAACACCCTTTTGTTAGCCAGCCACTGGTTGTCCCAGCTGACCAGCAGATTGATATAGAAAGACTTCAGGCTGAGCTTCCTAACCCTCATGCACGGCTTTTTCCACACACACCCCAACAGCTGCAACCCCAACAGTTAGCATCCCAAGCAATATCTCAGCAACATTTGCAAGATGCAGGTGCAGCTGAGTGGAGTCAACAAAATGCTTCCATGTCTGAATCTATTTCAATTCCTGCCTCACTTAATGATGCATCCCTGGCTCAAATGAATAGCGAAGTGCAGCTTCTTACAGAAAAGGCTCTGATGGAATTAGGAGGTGGAAAGCCATTGCCTCATCCTCGAGCATGGTTTGTTTCTCTAGATGGACGTTCAAATGCTCACGTTAGACATTCATACATTGATCTCCAAAGAGCTGGTAGGAATGGGAGTAATGATGCCAGTTTGGACTCTGGTGTTGACATGAATGAACCAAAATCTGCCCGAAAGGGAAGAGGAGATCATCTGTCTGCACCACAGAGTCACCCACCAGTGCAAGAGCACCAGCAGAGAGAGCGGAAGGTTTCAGACAGCACAGCTTACACACAACTTGTGTACTTGGATGATATGGACCAAAGCGGCAGCGAGTGTGGAACAGCAGTTTGTAGCCCTGAGGACAATGCTCTACGATGCCTACTAGAAGGCACTAGTAAGAGAAGTGGTGTGCAGCTGCCCAGCCTGCAGGAGGAAACAAGAACTGTGGATACCAAACCAGAGCCATTAACTAGTCCTGAACACGGAACATCAGTTCAAGATGATGAGGAGGATGAGGAGGATGAGGAAGATGACCAAGGTGAAGATAAGAAGAGTCCTTGGCAGAAACGAGAGGAAAGACCACTAATGACTTTCAATCTGAAGTGAGCTATTGTGAAAATCCACCATACAGTGGAGTATAAAATTGCCAAATATTCTTTCTGTGGAAGTGCTTGATTTTTTTTTTTTTAATTTTTTTTGTTGTGGAGAGAAAAGAGAAAAACAAGCTGTGGTGAGCAACATTTGAAAGAACTTAAATGCATTACTGTGTACATGTTAGAAAAGAATTAATATCATTCCTCTGATTTAATGGCTACCTCCAGTGAGATAGCTGAACAAAGAGTGTGATTGTTATTCCATATACTTGATATTGGTCATCCAGGATGTTGAAAATTCTGACAAATTGTTTTGGTTGGTTTATGACCTCAATCTCCTTATGAATGGGAGCTGGTAAAGCTTTTGTTTTGTAGGCCAATTTTACGTTGATAATGCTACTGAAAGTATCTTAAGAGTTTGACACATGGTGTCCAAAATTGTGCATTATCTCAATGAAAGGCTATGCATTGCTGCTTTTAGTAATACTTTGCTTATACTATGCTTTTCTTAATTTTACAAGTTGGTTGTAAACATTTTATGTCCTTTATTATAAACTACTCAGCAATTTATTTTAATGTAAAACTGCAGGAAACTTGAGTAGCATCCTTAGCATTGAAGCCTTTTTATGAAACCAAACTGAACTTTGTGTCGACTAAGATTCCTTCAATTCTGGTCCCATTTACTCAAAGTGCCTTTTTTACAGTAACAATGAACAGTCCCTTCTTTTGCTAACTCCTTTTAATTGACCCCATTTGGGATTTTATAAACTTCTGAACTTCTGCCTTTTATTTTAAGCTGCATGCTGAGAGTCCCATTTTGTGCTGAGCATTTCTCATTTCAATACAGTGTATTCTGTAGCTATCATGTATATTGTGGATTCTGTTTAGCCAGGATAGACTTAGAAGACATTTTAAAGGGCCCAGAGTAGCCACGAAGATAGTTCCATTGACTGTATATATTGTTAGTTTCCTCTGGAATCATATGAGCTAATCATGCTCATATAAAATGGACTATAGACCGAGCAAGTGGACTGGATGTGTCTAGAAAATTTTGAGAGGGGGGGAAAAAAAAAAAGTACTATCCAAAAGTGCCAGAATGGTTCTTCTGTGCTTTCTCCATACAGAGCTGCTTGGTTATCCAAAAATTATAATTGAAAATAAACTGCAAAAAATATCTTTGTGGATTTTTTTTCCTCTGTTGGTGGTCATTATATTATTTGATGTTATTTAATAAGAAAAATACTTTGATTTCACTTTTGCCATGCATATTTATGCTTGTGTGACTTACTTTCTTATGCAGTTCTCATGAACTTCAGTCAATACTGAAATTTAGACCACTTTTCAGAAAAGCATCCTTCCTGTCTTGATAAATACATAACTATTTGCTTAAGTATCACTTGGAAATGAAATCCTGATGTTGCCAAAATTCTCTATGGAGTCACATGTCCTGTGGGACCAGTTTTTTTTCTGAGATTTCTGCGGGTATGCACGCTTATTGCACACTTCTTACTACTTCATTAATTGGGTTCAAAGAAGGGAAAGTATGTGACTTCCACTCTTGTGGAATCCTTTGTGTACATTCAGTTCATCATGTTTCATTCAGTAATCTTTACGGAGCATTAGCAGCAATCATGCTTAATAAAGTTAATTATTATGTAATCTCTAAAGTGATTAGAGAATTTTTAATAGTAAGCCCTGAACTCGGATTCATTGTTCTTTTTTTCAGTAGATTTCCAGGCTTTCTTAGGAGGCCAGTGTTGTAATTTCCATCTTACTGAATGTCTTACCTGGGAGTCTGGGTTTGAGCCAGGAACTGAATCCCAATTTCCTAGTTCCCAGGCCAGTGCACCTCTCCATCCACAAAATCACATCACCGTTGATTCATGTTTGGAAGTAGTATATGTTGTAAAAGAACTCTAAAATAATATTTGTGGAGTGTATTGAATATTCAAATCACCATATTAGCAGTAAGTTATGTTTTACTCACCTCATGCCTTCCAAGTCCTTTCCTGTTCTGTTTAGTAATTTTTCTGCTGACCACATGTGAACTGGCTCTGGGGTCTGGGTTACTTATTGTCAGTCTGTGCAAGGTCACTGAACAGAAAAATACAGGAATAGTATTTCTCAGATGTCAGTAAGTGCTGGTAATACAGTGTCACTTATTAATCAGTATGCTGCATCAAGTAAACATTCTGGTTTAAAATTTCCACGTACTAGAATTATTGTGCTATTTAATTTTCAACTTTCTGTTGTCTTAAATCTGTCATTTTTAATTAGATTCTTTTTCAGATTCCTTTGCAAAGTTTCCATCGTTATTATCTTGTAAAGTGAGATTGTTGCTATTAAATTGCAGTGGTTTGTTTCTTTAATTGTGTTGGTTTTATGTTCAAAACACATAGTTTGATGGTTTGATAATTTGCGGTCCTAATACAACAAACATATTTGAATAAACACAATGTGTGTATTTTGCAAATCTTTAAAATAGCATTTTTTAATTGCTCTGATATCTCCAGCCATATAATAGTTTGATTTTGCAGAATACATAGTTTATGAAATTTAATTCTCGGTATATTCAAAACTACTGAGCCACACGTTAAATGACATTGGAACAGAGTAACACAGATCAGATAATAGGTTGAGATTGGTATGTCCATTGAACACACTTTGCCTAATCTTACAGTCCAGTGACAAGTTCTGTGTTTTAATTTTCAAAAACATACTGAGGAAGGTACTTTGGTAAAATATGAAGAAATTTTGTTGCTTATATTTTGCAGTTGAATGGTGATGCAAGTACCAATAAAGCTTACAAAACATAGAGAACAAAGTATAACTTGAATAGGTCTTGGTATCAGCATCTCCAAGTGATCTTAGTCCATGTAGAAGATAACCTAGAAAAGCAGTTCTTTTCTTATTTTTTGATGGCAAGTATTAAGAGGGATAAAATGCAAAAGATTGTCATGACAGAGCTTACAAAAGTAATGAAAATATGTTGGACTTAAAACTAGGAACAGGTCTTCATTTAATCTGTTGGCAAACAGGATTTTCAAATAGATAATGAGTGAAAGAGTAAAGATAATTTTTACATCTTAGGTTGTATTATCCAAAGTCCATTTATATCATAGGGCCTATGAAATGTTAGGACTGTTGGGAGTTAATACGCTTATTAAGACTCCATTTGCTTCATGGTTGTCCCCCAGCTCCCTCCTGCTGATACTTGCTTCTCAGAGCTTGTTAAACTGTCTGTAAAGCACCTTGACTTATTGTTATAAAGACCTTTTATTATTTGATTAAGTGCTTTGTCAGAGTATCAGCATGCTAAACTCTCTACAAATACAGGGAAACAAAATGGTTCCTGCCTCAGAGCATTTGCAAGCTAACACATTACACAAATATACAAAATTGTGGTACTGAGCTTAGATGAACAACTTACAAAGAAACCCCAACGTTTGGAAATTGCTCATGATGCTTTTCTCTCTCACAGGAAGGACTGAGTAGCTTTAGCAGAGTGAATTAAGCATGCTTGAAGTACTTTGGCAGTATTTTCATTTTCTGCCCTTCATTCTATCTGTGAATGCTCTGCAGAACCAATTTTATTTCACTGTCCTAAACCAACATGGTTGAAATTGGTAAGAAATTACATGTCCCATGTAGGGTTTAGCCTATAGAATAGTACAGGTGTAAATGAGCAAGTGTTGGATTAGATACTCACTGTTTCTCTAGGAAGGTTCCTAGTGAACCAAAAGGGTGTTATTTTTTTCTTAACCCCTGAGAATTCATCTGAGGATTAAAACTTGTTATAACAAAATACCTCTTAAACTGTCAATAGGCTGTAACCTGAGCCATGGTAGCATCCATCCAGTATACCCTTGGACTTGGTCAAACGAGAAGAAGAATGTCAGTTTACTTTTCTAAAATGTATTGGGCGACAGATAAAGTTTTTTTGAATCAGTGCTGCTGTTTTGAGTCTCTAGCGTTTGAAATTCTTACAAGTTGGAATATCTGCCACCTGCTGGTGAACTGTTTCTCCATACATACTGTGTATAAAACACAGTTTATAATGTCAATATAAGCACAGTTTATAACTTCAAGAATACCAGTAGGCAGCTGTCACAAGATGATCAGTTGTTTGATGGGCCTGCTGTCAGTCCAAGTGCAGAGATCCCCGTCAGCTTGAGAGACCTTGCC